GTGGACAGGCTTTCTGTGGCCTTCGTAACATTCATTTGTATCATTTCCTTGCAATTGTCAGTAATTCCATTGAACTTTGGAATCGTGTTTACATACGTTTGCACACAGGGTGAGAGCACACGCCCGTCTACAGTAAACTTAGAGTTTAGACTGTTTTGAAGTGTACGTGTGCACTTCAGTCGATTGCATAATCGAGAGTGGACGACGTCGTACGACTGATTGTGCCTTGAATGAGTATGTGTGCATACCAACTAACTTTGGTTAGAATGTTGACAGACACCATAAACAGATCAATTACTCAAACATATTCGCGATGTAGGGCGTGTGGCCCACTTGCTACCTACCTACCATCCAATATTCCTTCATTGCCCTGTTTGGAAACCTCCAAGATGGCTAATTAGGCCACTTGAGCGACGCTCCTGTAGGTGATATTGCTGGGACAGATGCCAAATCCATTATTCATTGCCATCATCATTATCAGAGTAATTAATGAGTTTCAGTGATGCACAGTGCGATAAGGGCACATTTTGTTGAGCAAGTAATGTGAATCCAGCACTTTTACCGTGGCTGTTCTCCGACCTACAGTCGCTTTGCCGTGTTCATTGATCTTTGAATGGGGTGCAATGTGCTAGTCGGATAGCTCAGTGATTTACAGCGCGAGTTTGCTGACCGGAAGGTCCGTGGTTCGAACCCGACCACAGCCTCTCGGCTTGAGCAATCTGGCAGTGTCCCAGCATTCCTTCGGGTAGCATGGCAGCTAGGCACCGAGAGGAGGCTACACCTGAACGATTATCGATTATTCGGTTACAAGAAGAAAGACCCACTCAACCCTGCACTGACGATGTCACCTCGATTGGTGATGAAACGTTTGCAATCCAACTGCCAAGCTCGGCAAACAGACCAACAACCAAACATTCCAACTGGCTATAGGATTGGCGGATTCAGCAAATATGTAGAGCCCATCGCAACGATCACAATCGTAATGGACAACAACAGCGTTGACACTGATGCTTCACTGTCATTCTGGTTGTGCGTCGGCTGAGGTAATGCCAGGTTGCCGTGACCTAGACAGGAGGCCGATTATTACTTTTACTCCAATAACTTTGGTTTGGAAGCTCGACAGGGAGGCCCGGGTGAGTGCCAACATGATCAGACTGCAACACCCTTCAGGTGCCCAGCTGACATACATGAGGGCCGGTCAATAAGTTTGCTCCTTAACCAATGAGCTATCTCAAGCTCGGAGTGCCAACGTACTACCTACCACAAGTCGGCGCAGATGTCCAAGCCACCTATTCTGAGAATTAGGAGACTATCCGTTAATCAACCCGGTATGAAATACTCTGTAGATATCACAGAGTCTCGCAGAGTTCCCAGTGGCTCATGGAGGTACGCATCGTCGTACGACGCTAAGGCTTAATCTGTTTGCAGCTTACTGGAAAAGGTTATCTCACTTGTGTTGTAAATTTAATCATGTTCACGAGGAAATTGCTACGGAAACTAACAATAAATTCACACAGATTGCAAATTCGGCTGACACTTTCCCAGTCGAATGAAAAGCTCTTGTAGATGTTGTCTAATACATCTGTCTGCTATAAACCAATGAAAGGAAGTTCCTGAAGAATATTCATATCTCATGTGATCGTCCATTGCATTTTGAGAACTTCTCGGTTTGGTGAGTGGTTTTCCAATCTTGGGGCGCTGTTCTTGAAGTGGAGTAGCTTCACTTAAAAATGACCGATACTTACATACACACATTTCTGATTAGCTTGCCGAAATACCGCTTCTTTTGAACATGTAATCTCATCCTTAGGTGGGGGATATTAAGGTTCACCCTTTCATCCCGCATACAGAGAACAGCTACATTAGAAATGCCTTCATATCGACGCCGAGTACTACACATGCTACCAGTTTCTGTTCCATCTCCGAAACACCGATTTTTTCCAAAACGAGCATGGTTGTTAGTTGTTATTTTCAAACAGACCGGCATCTTGACGAAATTTCACTTCAAAAAATAAATAAATCGTTCAGCTGTAGCACCCTTTCAGTGCCTAACCACCATGCTCCCGAAGGTAGCACCAGGGCTGGGATACTGTCAGGATGCCCAAGCCTAGACAGGGGAAGTCGAGAGGCAGAGGTCGGATTCGAACCACGGAACTTCCAGTCAGTAAATTCGCGCTCTTACCACTTGGGCCATCTCAATTCAACTACCTCCAGAACATGACATCCCTAAATCTGGACATTCTTCGTAAACAATATATCCTAGTGTGTGACCCTTCTTTGCGTTTAAGTGTTACCGCATACCGTTGATCGATGCCGGCGTCCTCAAATAGTTTCTCGCTGTTCCAGTGGGAGTGTCAAACCATTGTAACCAACAATTCTTTTTTATATATTTATGCAGGTTTCTAATCCATCCTGGCACGGCCTGAACACATCGCAACAAAGACTACCTCAAACCGATCGAATCCAGCAGTTTGGAATCTCCACTGTCAATCCTCTGGGTTCGTTTAAGCGGATTTCTCCCAGTTCTTCCATAGCCCCTCCTAATCGGTGAGATAGATAATATTTTTCACTATCCTCATGTTTCCGAACCATCCTCTCCGCACTGCCTTCTTGTTACGACTTGGCCCTATTTTTCATTCAAGTTCGGTTATTATTCAGTAGACTGGGTATCATCATAACCAGGTTCTACTTGCTCCGTTTTATTGATGGACACCGAGTGGACTGTCCTACATTGAAGTTTAAAGCTCTCGGCGATTCGGCAAAAGTAATTGTGAGTTAACAAACACTTGCGCTCTGTGCTTTGCGCTAGCCGTAACACCATTCACTACCTGACCGGTCATGTTTGTTAGGGTCACTGTGTCCTGGTGTTCAACATCGCGAAAAGTCGATAGTGGACTTCATTGTTTCGTGACCAGTTCGTTGACTGACTTATCCATACAGTTGCATCTTCCAACTATGGGTGGGCCACATGGAACCGATACCAAAACTTCACACGATTACCTTCGCTCAGAACACACACCCCACACCTCCGAATTATCAACAAGCACACCAGATGGACCGAGTCCCTCTTTTGGAACAAGGATCACGCTTGCCTACTCGGTCTGTCTACTAGAAAGTCCAACTGAAAGACCGTGTAAGCCTAGACAAGACCAGTCGAGATGCCGGGTTCGAACCATGGACCTTCCGGTCAGTTTGTTCGAGCCGTAAACACTGAGCCACCTCAAGCTTTGTCTATGTACCACACACTAATTTAAGCCAGTGAAATCTACTTTTTTTTCGCGAAAAGTTCATGTTCGTGTCTAAGCCCATAAATCTATTTTTCCTCAGTACGGGATTGATGGTCTTGGGGCACACGTGTTACGAGCAGTTGACAAACGCCACTCCGTTGTTTTTTTTTGGCAGTGTGTGCTTCCCTCCTTTAGTATGGACTCATCAGAATAATTGCATCAACGTAGGAGGTGGTCTGTCTAAACAAGATCGATGTAACTCTGACCTGGATTTCTGTTCTTCACATTAGGCGTAGTCAAGTGTCGTACTCGCCTCTGATGTGTTGTTTTTCGTCTGTGTGTAGTTCACACCCAAACCATGCAAACCAACAGCAATCGGCGACCTCCCGAATTCCCATCACGTCGTCCCCGTGCACCGGCTTCGAATCAACGAAAACTCTGGATTCCAATCATGAACCAAAACAACCGTGTACTTCCAATCATCCAGTGTTGTGTGCACAACATGATCAGACAGACTCCACACGCGCGGAGCTGGAGGCAAGGTTAAATCAGGTGTGAAGTTCAGTGCTTTCCTTCTCTGCCCCTCGCATTTTCCTTCATCATTCAGAATAACCGTGTCGCTTCGTAATGTCTCCACTGTCATGGTGAATAGCAATAGTAGTCTCGAATACTCCGCCAGAGTGCGACCTGGTGGCGCAGAGTTCACACAATCGCTCTAATCGTTTTTATGTAGCTTGCCACCCCAAGCCCCTGAGTTTAGAACTCAACCCTTTATTTTAAGCAGTTATAAGAGAACATATGTGTACTCAGCAAAGATGACTCACAAAGCCGATTCGCTTAGTGAATTTTGAACCTTTTTTCTGTGAGTTTTTCCGGTATTCAAGCCCAACCTTCCATGTAATCTCGCAGTGAAACACTGGATCAATATGTCAGTATAAACTGTGTTGACACTGGCTGGCAGCCGTTGAGCAAATCATTCTATGGAGACCAGTTCTCGAAGCCATGGGTTTTCGCCTCTCCCTCTCTAAAGCCAATACAGAAAACAACAGCCTTGTCGATGGAGGCTGGTAGCACGTAACAAACGGCTGAATTCAATTCCGTTTGGTGCACTCTTCAGTCAAGAATGTGTTTTTCAACCCTGTCGTCAGATTCTTTGTTGATTTGTGGTCACTTGTGGCCTAAATTGTTACAAATTGGTCACCATGACTGCGAGCTGAACATGTCTTGTGTCTGTAGCGTCTGACAAAAAGTTACCCTACCTACTCAAACGGTCCGTGTGGATAGCGCGCCCCACGATTTCTCCTGAAACTGCGAAAACATCACCCGAGTATTCCTCTGCACCTGGAAGTGGTTGGCTGGCTTATCCAGAAACTTCCATCGCTTTTCCCCATCTCTTCAGGACGTGAACAGTACCCACCGCGTGCAGTAGTTCCCCAGGAAACCCTCCTCCGAAGGGAGACTATTGACCTCTAAGTTCACCGGGCAAGGGTTTTTTGATGAGCCACCTCGAATAGGGACCACTTCCAAGAATAGGCCATGCCCCCCTCTTTTTACTTTGCTTATCTCTTAGAATGAGAGTCACTGCATAAGTTTATCAAACTCATTTGGTGTTACTAAGGCTAGCCCGCAGCCCGATGTTCGCTGACTCACCGAGTTGACAGATTACACTCGTCCTAAAGAGCACTCTCTCTTTCATTCTCTTCCCGAGCTGTTTGTAAAGGTCATTTCGCATTACAGTGTGTCATCCACCTTGTCTACTTTTCCTGTTTTTAGGAAGTTGCCAGACGAAAGCAACAAGATGACTATATCCGGCAACTACAAACGTATTACGATAACTTACTGGCTAAACATGCATTGGCTGAAGTCACTATTGACCAGCTCCGTATGGGTGCTCAAGTTCGAACGGATTCCGAGGAACGGCGGTCCGTAGGTTTCGATAGCTCCAGGCCCTCATTTGGCGGTGGCTTGCGGCGATCCATGCAGTACCTTTCCCAACCTGTGGGCCCACAGACCCCCTCACGGTCTGGTTCCGTGTTCCTGTCGAACATTGGTCAGCTTCGTCCCAACTTCGGTGAAACACCAACATCTCGATATGCTTCCACACCCTATCTTCGTTTACCTAGTCCTTCGATTGAAAGCAAGCATCTGCCTCCACCTCCCTATCCGCCCCCCTCCTCCATCCAGCAACACAACCAATCACGCTTGTCAGAAGTTGACGTTAGCCGCATACGAAGCTCCCTGGAGAATGGCGATCAGTCTCGATATGACCTGAGAAATTCGGTTAGTGGTGGAACTCTGCGTAGGAGACCCAGCGTTGAAATGCCGCACGACCGCCAGCAAATCCAGTGAGTTTTGTGGCCTTTAGCAGAAATCGATCAATGGAGACTCGTTTCATTCTGGAGAAATCTCAATTTGTTTATGCAAAACCATGGGTTTTTAGTGGTTTTCAAACAGCGTCATTCATCTCTTTGGACATTCTTCCATGTTCGCTCCTGATTTGTCCACTGTGTGCTTGCTTTTACAGTCGATTCATCTTTTTTATTGTTGGTTAAAACGGAGTGTCGCTGATTAGATAATCGGAAACCAAGTTCAACATAGTGAAAAACTACGTTGATTGGCCGGATGATGGTTCCTCAAATCCTTATCACTGTTGGTCGGTAGCACTGTCGGCTTCTAGAGCACTAGTTTCTGCGTGGTCTGGTAACTGTACACAGTTCCACTTCCGAAAAATTGTTCCACTCCCTTGGTCTGTCATCTACTGTCAACTCATCCAGGTACTCACACAAAGTCCTTATGGTGCGAACACGCATGATGGTTGATCTCCTTTCTCGGGCGGGCAAACATTTCAACTCTGTCCAAATCCCTCCCCCCTGGAATGCTGCCCGAGTGTTTTTCCTAGGGGGCCTTCTTCCCACTTCTTCCTCCTTGATTTCATCTGACTCCAATTAATCTCCATTCTCTACATTCCCGTCGGCATCTCTTCCCTAGCCAAAAGTTTACAGACACTCCCTCATCATCAAGGCATGGCATCGTTGCCTTGTTTCGCGGTTACCACCGCAAGATTTGTTCATCGAGACTGGCTTCTGTCATTTTCTGTATGTCTTTATACTGCACAACTGGTCTTCACCCACGTCAGGTTTCTACTACTCGATGTAGACTATTCTTTTTCACCAAAAACTCTCAGCTCTCTCTTTTTCACGCATATGGCCACCGTGTCCTTTTACCGGATTTACTAGGGGTCTCCGACTGCTGGGTCTCGTTTCCTTTGTCACTCACCTGTGTACTAAAAAACAGAGACTTTCAAAAAAAAGTCGTTCGGCTGTATCACCCTTTCGGTGCCTAACTGCCGTGCCACGCGAAGTAGCACGAGGGCCGGGATACTGGCAGGTTGCCCAAGCCTAGACAGGGGAAGTCGAGAGTCAGAGGTCGGGTTCGAACGACGGACCTTCCAGTCAGTAAATTCGCGCTCTAACCACTTTGGCCATCTCACCCCAGAGACTTTTAAATGATTCCTTCACACCAGGTTCGAACGCGGACCTTCCAGTCAGTAAATTCGCGCTCTAACCACTTTGGCCATCTCACCCCAGAGACTTTTAAATGATTCCTTCACACCAGTACAAGATACGTCGGTCTCTTTGTTTGAAGATTTTCTTGTCATCTGTAACAATTCAGGGGCATGTTATCGAAAGAGCACTTCTAGTGCTCTTTACTAGACGCAAAGCATGTATACCAAAGTCTGGACATCAACAGTTCGAAAGCCTCTGAGAGGCAAACTATCCGCTCACTTGAAAAAAATCGACAGTTTCTTTTCTTCACAGGCTTAGTAGGCTGGAGATAAATAAGATAAATGCAGTATCTCCACAAAACCTGTCGCGCGGAAGTATTTTGGTTCTTTCGATGGATGTTCGTTCTCGAGGTGTCTTATTGTATTTTGTGGCTCGCTTACTTGTGGTTACTTTTCTTGCTTCGGAAACTGACCAAATTGCATTGCTGTTTGCTTCTGTTACAGGTCGTCTACTGGCGAAAGAAATCACCCTGGTCCGGTTCCTTCTGATAGATTGCAAGACACAACACCCAGTAGAATAGGATCTTCTCAGTACCTCTCAAAGCAAACCGTTTCTGTGCCGAACCCCTCTCTACAACAGCCAGTTACTGTCTTGGATAGCCAAAGACAATCTTCTCCTGGTAAGCTCGCCTTTCCACAGTTTATCAGCTTCCACTTCCATTTTAGTGTTGGAGGCAGGTTTGGAGATATTGCTTGCTTTATGGACAGAATAAGGGATGTTGTACGTTCTGAAAACGAGCCTTTCCATGTCTTTGTTTTTCTATGTCTCTATAGTGATATCCTTCCCTATAAGGCCGCTCCTATTATTGGAATTATTAAAGCCACTGGCAAACTGATGACAGAATGGTAAATCTGGGTCTGTCTTGACTGAGTGGAACTCATCGAATTTCTCATAAGACACCGTGTTCTCTCATCTCCGTGCACGAAAGCGTTCATCCTTTCGAATTGAGCTTTCTCAATGAAAGTTAAATATCTGCTGCTCGGTGACAGAAGGATTTGACCCGTGGCAAAAGTTTCACATAGAGTGTTAGAGGTCGCTGTAATCGCCCATTGATTTTTTAGTTGGAGATTTCTCCCGATGTAACGTTTATCGGGCGATCCCGCTTAAACTGATGGTTCTTTCTTTCGGAATAGACGCCTCAGCACCGTAGACACTGGATAGACCGATGTAACTCTCGACTTGGGGTTGGAATAAAACCGAAATCGGTTTCGGAATTTTATTGACGTAAGGAATCAAGAGTCATTTAGTGGAATGCAGTCATTTGCAAACTAATCTCCCACTTACCTACAGAGATTGGCTTGTTACCCGCTCCACTTTCTGCATTCTCCACGCCTTCGTTTAGTTCCTGGAGGTCTTCGGCAATTTAGCAACCAACACATTTTCAACAACAAAAGACACTGATTTCGATTTTCCATCATTCCTTGGTATTTTTGTCTTCAAGAGGCTGTGTGCCTGAAGCCCACGAACACCCACTGTCCGTTTCCTTCATCCGCTCCACATAGGTACCTTTATTAAAGCCACTGGCAAACTGATGACAGAATGGTAAATCTGGGTCTGTCTTGACTGAGTGGAACTCATCGAATTTCTCATAAGACACCGTGTTCTCTTATCTCCGTGCACGAAAGCGTTCATCCTTTCGAATTGAGCTTTCTCAATGAAAGTTAAATATCTGCTTCTCGGTGACAGAAGGATTTGACCCGTGGCAAAAGTTTCACATAGAGTGTTAGAGGTCGCTGTAATCGCCCATTGATTTTTTAGTTGGAGATTTCTCCCGATGTAATCGGGCGATCCCGCTTAAACTGATGGTTTTTTCTTTCGGAATAGACACCTCAGCACCGTAGACACTGAATAGACCGATGTAACCCTCGACTTGGGGTTGGAATAAGACCAAAATCGGTTTCGGAATTTTATTGACGTAAGGAATCAAGGGTCATTTAGTGGAATGCAGTCATTTGCAAACTAATCTGTTGTTAACGGTAGGCTCACCGGAATCTCTCCTCTGTGGTATTCCTCAAATAAATTCGATACACAAAGGCCAGTTCATGTTTCCGTTTCTATGATGTTCGAATAAATATTCTCAAGATTTCAACGGGGATTCTGCCGAGTCTTCCGTAAAAGCCAAATCAGTTTGCAAGTGACGGTAGTTCGTGAAGTGCGTACAATTTGGGTTCAAGTAGAGCATAAGATTGACCGAAACTTGCTTACTACGCTTACCTGATAAGTCCCAAGAAGTGTGAAACCGATCGTGGGCTGTCAGAGTTTTCAGCAACCTTATAAGTAGTGTTCCGTCAATAAAATGCACTGCGATATCTCGACCATTGTACCAACTGAAACACGAAGCGATCCTTGAGCAGCACATTTAAATGGAAAATTGCATGAGTGGGACATTGAACTGGGATTCAGTTAGGACTCCGGTCATCACCCGAATTTAGCTTCCAAACAAATGAATGTATTTCGCGAATCAAGGTTCAACTTTTTGGAGGCGCGTATCAAAAGAAATCGATTGGCGTTTTGGCAAAATCTAGTTAGGTCTATTTTCAGTTTAGATTTTTGTCAATTCGGGACAGGAAGTGTGACTGGAAAAAAGTCTCCGGGGATGTCCAAAGTATTTGACACCGATACAATCATTACCCAAGTTAGAATCTGATGGACGAAGCCAACAATAGACTCCCATCAAGCTATTATTGGTTGTCACGTATTCCAACAGGAAGATAAGCCGCCCACAGGAAACTGGAATTTGGCGTGGAGACTAGATGCATCGACGCCAATAGCGGGCATGTTCACTTGTATCTTCAACTGTTACACATAAAAGTGCGTCGTATGAAACAAGTGCGTTTTGTGGTTGTTGCTGACCTATCAAAGATTTTCACACTATTGGACGGTATACCATACCGTTAGTCTTCCTCTTTTGCGACCGTTCCATGCTGTCTTGCGACATTATCTTTGTCTTGCATTTCCGTCAGTCTAAATTGAAGTTCTTACATTCTGGTTGTCCAGTCTTTCGCGTTATTATATGGGTCGATCGCTCCTATTTCGATTGGGCAGATTCGTCCTATTTTAAGACCTTTGCTTTTGATAGCCTGCTTGGGTGTTGTGCCTTGTAGCTGAACACTTCACTTGATTTTTCGCACGATCATCATCATCAGCCGTGAAAATATGCCTACTTGCCGTAGATTGGTTCAAACTTTCATAGTTTCGTTCACCCATGGTTTGGGGAGTTGGGGCAGACAGCTGCGCACTGGAGGCACTGGCTGATATAATTGACGCTTAAGTACAGTGGTGTCTGTGGGCTTTTCATTGGGGAGATCAAGAGGGGAGCTATGCGTTGAAGTTGATAGCTTGGATGCACGAGCGCCATTGAGGGCGTACCTGGGCCATGTCCAACAGTGTCTCTAACCATTAATGTGTCCCCATCCAGGGGGATGACGAGCGTAGCTGAGTTTGCTGCTAATGGCTTCCATACGTCGCTGCCAAGTCGTGTGACCCCCTGGCTCGCTTCCACTCTTCGTTTGGTTGTGCGAAAAGGGTTCTTTGGGGAAGTCGGTCAACTAAGATACGGAGCATGTAACCAAGCCAGCGCAGTGTGGTCAGTTCATCTACAGTGGGCGAGTTATTCCCTCCGGAAACCATTCGGCGTACTCCAGAATTGCTGGCCCGGTGTTCTCCCCAGGCTTGGGCAAGGCTCCATAGACATCGGTGGTCAGACACTGAGTTCTAAAAATTAGTTTACGACTGTGCGGCATTCAACCGAGGTGGTGGCATGGTAAAACTCTCGTTCCCCGCCTCTACACCGCATTTTTTCGGATTACTTCGCGAATATCGTTCACTTAATCCCCCCATTTCATCTTAGGTGAACAGTCTTTCTTCTTCTCTTTCCAGATTCCGTGTTGCCAGTGCATCCTGAAACGTCGTCGAGTCCTACAGACACTACTGGCCAGTATTCGGATTCCGTTCGGATGCATCTGTTATTCAGTATTGGAAAACTTCAAGCCTCATTGACCGGTCATCAGCGGCGGTTTGTTGAAACCGGCGAGGCTCCGACTAGAGCCCAACTGGACTCGTATAGGGAGGACTATTCCCTGCTCAAAAAGTGCTTCCAAGCGGCTAAGCAACACTGGAGAGGTTCGTTCTCTTCCGTCGAAAGTAAGACTTTTTTCTACAGAACTATGTAGAATGGTTTACTGTCAAGATGACTCAACCATGATCACCAGGGTCCCCCGAGTACACCACAATGACCTTACTGTTCACCCATCCAAAGAGACATAGTACAAACCTGAGAGTCCGCGATAAACTTCACTGGGTGACGGAAGGATGTTAGCTACCTGACTTAGTTCATTCGAATGGTGCCAGGCCTACATGCACTCGCACTGCGGCCAAGCTTCGCCGTTCTATCTTGGTTATTTGTTCAAAACTCGGTAGCATTCTACGTCTTTCAGATACCGTCCCCAAACGAAAGCGTCACAGCTTCGCATTTGCTCCAGTCGAGGGAGCTTCACCCTTTCCCACTTACTATGAAACCGGGTAAATGGTTAAGCTAACAAATGAACCTACACTGAACACTGATCAGTTGACAATAGATGGAACATTCAACATGGAGGTTGGGTGCATGACTATAGTGTTCATCAATGTACCTTCACCGTTTATTACAAAAGCCATGATATCAGCAGCAGCTCATACGAAAGCGTTCACTGAGTCGATGAGCTAAATTAGCACAAATCTACCATTGACGTGGTAGATGGCCACTACCAAACTTGGATAAAGCAGCCGGATATTACAGGTGGAAACGAAGTGGCGAACCCAACAGCAATGGGGACATTCAAAAGCAGTCAGTTCCATCCGCCGTGCTCTCTATTTTCGCCAAATCATGCTGGGAGCGGTATGGTTCTGACAGGGTATCTCAAGTTGAGAAACAGCTCCACAATGAATCGAGCCTCTGAATACCGTCTCAAACCTACTCACAGAACTGTATTTCGATTAGAATGAGTTCCCTTTACAAGTGCGCGCCCCGTTTTAAAGGTGAAGCAGTAGATATCTATCCAAAACCTCTCAAGAACATTGTTATAGCTTTCATTCGGTTGGTGAGTTCAACCACAGTTTTCCAGGTGACCAGTTTGAGCGATTGTTCTTAAATTGTTGCCCCGGAACCGGCGTATGTTCTAGACACTATCATTCCCACCTTGAAACAACACCTGGTTGCGCTGACATTACAGACAGACACGTAGTTCTCTTCTTCACCGATTGTCTTTTGAGAGATGAAGCCTAACTGATGATGCTTGTGTACCATCCCAGATGTTGGTTGCCCTTCTGTCAGTTAGGTAGACAATTCTTACGCTCCGGGGACCAGCTTCTGTGATATTGCTCCCGCCCGCTAGCCTAGAACGTTTCCAGTCGAACTTTTATCCGCATTCACTCACCACCCGTGGTCGCTCATTTTCGCTTCACCTCATCTCCGGTGACATTTATCAAATTCATCTTCATCTGGTTTACAGTCTACTTTTGTATCCCGTTGCCAAGGTAATAATTTGTTGCAAATCCACCTGTCTGTTTGTTAAGTACCTCCATCCGTCTCGGTAAAATGCTTGCCGTGAAGACAGAATTGTCCAGAAACCATAATTCCATTCCACTTCCCCTGCAGTGTGGTTTTCTTTATCAGGAAGTCGGTCCATATTTTGTCATAGTTCATCTTGGCTGTTTTACTATCTTTCACGTGACTACCGAAGTACGATGCGGGAATGCGACAGAAAGAAGGGGAGGCATTTAAATGTGCACTCAGCTGCTGTTGTTTTGTGAACGAATCCTCGGTTGTCGCCTCTAAGGTGTATTGTATAAAACTTTGAAGTTGTCTCTTCCCTGGAGGTGCTGTATGTGAGGGATAGCATGGCGTGTCGTTTTCGGTGTCGTGAACTACCATCGCTTGTCCTGTGTCTGCTGCGTCTGTCTCCGTTCTCTTCCTGGCAGTTACTTTTGTGGAACCGGCTCTGATCAGCTGATTACGCGCATCGTCGCTAGCTTGTTGGGTTAGTTGTACGACTGAACACTATTACTCAAATTCTACATGTTCCGACGACTTGGATCAGACTACCGCCATGATTCATGCACCTGGAACCCCATTTACTTGCCTCAAAATTCTGAATTGGTCAGTTTCCAGCATGTAACCACTTTCCGATCACCCTTGAGGGCGAGTTGGCTCAAGTGGTTAGAGCGCGAATTTACTGGCCGAAGGGTCTGTGGTTCGAACCCGACCCCTGCCTCTCGACTTCTCCTGTCTAGGCTTGGGAAACCTGATAGTATCACAGCCCTCGAGCAACCTTCGGGTGGCATGGCAGTTAGGCTACGGCTGAACGATCTGGTCGCTACCTCGGGTCACCATGCAATTTCACCCATAAACAGCTATTGATCGCTGGAAAAATAGGCATTTTTCTTCGCTATAGACCAGACTTATTAGCTCGTGTGTACGGCCATGCAGTTCTCGCGTGAATACCTATCGCCTCATATTCATAGTTGGTAATCGGTTTCTTTTGCACTTGCATTTCACGGTTTCCTCATAGAATTCGATTCAGACGCCAGTATGGATAAAGACATTTTCCAAATCGGACTGCAATTGGACGATTTAGAAGCATGTTTCCGCATAAAGAATTCTATTCTAAACCTCCCTCCCGACACGGTCAATGGAGGAATTCACAGGTCACAGCCGTCGGACAGCCATCATTCGGCAGACCTCACAACTCCTAGTCACGGAACAGGAACATCCTCTTCGCCTAGACATAGCAACAGTCTTGCAGAAAACGAATCATACCCCTCCAGCCTGCACAGCTCTTCGCCAGTGAAAGGTAAGTTGCTTTTAAAGTGGAGCCGATGTTTATTGGTCCCTAACCACTCTACGTAATAAAATTCTAGAAAGCAAGACCTAACGGTGTTTAGAACTTCACGAATATTTGACAGACAAACATGGAAGGCTGATAAGTGCTATCGATCAGTTCATAATTACGGCTGATATTCTCAAGGCACAAAGTGCTGGTAGTTCTCAACAGCGTTGTGTACTCCTGTCAGTAGGATTTTTACCTGAATTCACAGAATGAACCGAGAAAGTAAAGTCTTAGGTTTCCTAATCTCTCACTGTTGGATTGTGGGTACGTCACGTGATGCTTGAATGAAAAATGTACAGGAATGCGAACCTCAAGGCTAGAAGTCGAACCCATGACTAGGTGGGTTCTCAGACCTCACACGCTATTCTCCGCGCATCTACCTAATCGATCCATAGCCAAAGGTGGATAGCTTCACGAACACTCGACATTGCAAAGGGGTTGGTTGGTGTTTACTCCTTGAATTTCCCTCCAGGGCACTTATGGTCTGTGTTCAAAACGCCAATCCCGTTCTGACCGTGTTTGATTTGTCTCACCCGACCAAACGGGTTAGCTTATGCTAGTGAGATAAAAACCTCCTATTAGGCGCCTCTACTGGAACCCATGTACTTCGATACTTCATCCTATCCAGGAGCTAGGCCATTGTGCACTGCTCTCGTATGTGGTCTCCTCATGCGCAGAAAAAAATGGTATGATCAGTTTTTATGAAGGTGAAAAACAGAACCATTCTACGCAGTTCCGGCGATTCTGTTGATGCTTTTCCGGCTACCTCGCATGAATTTCAGGTTTCCGTGGTGCATTGTTCACCGTTGACGCGACGAGTAGACAATTAGTGGTGATTCTCGAGTCCTGAAACCTTTCTGGAGTTGGGCGATTGTTCATTCTCGTTGACTCGACCGGTCTAAACGATGCTTGGAGACCAGAACTAGTGGCATTCGACTGTGGCATATTCTGCCGGATATTTACTCTTTTGCCACATGCAGTCCAAATTTTAAGGAAAGAACACGCACGACCTACTGTATTTTGTTACTCCTGTGATGAGCATCCTGTCGCCATCGATTTTTTCGCTTCTTCGGCACTAGATTGTTTATAGTTTGTTTATAGCTACTTTGATCTTGAGCACGAGGAGTATACAACCACCCGTTTAACGGAGTAAAGTACTTGGTGGGCTGTCCAGGAGCGATCACAAAGCTAGTCTAAACTATATCTTTGTAATGTACTACTTATAAGGCTGCTGAAAATTCCTCGACAACCCACTACCGGTTTCACCCATTTTGGGGGCTCATCAGGTAGGCGCAGTTCCCGGGTTTCCGTCAACCTTATGTTCTACTTGAAACCAAATTGCACGAAATTAGAGAATATTCACTCATTTGCAAACTATTTTGGTTTTTTCGAGAGACTCACCTGGAACCCAGCTGAATCTCTCTCTCTCGCGACTGAAACATGAGGCGGCCTGGTGCGGCACATTCAGTTGCCTGAGAACATCATAAACGAGAGATTCAGCTGGGTTCCAGGTGAGTCTCTCGAAAAAAAATTACTTTACAAATGAATGTATATTGGCTAGTCTAAACTAATTTACGGCACGTTGTTCCCATATTCACCCGCCCGATTTGCAGTCTCCTTATACTTATGCCCTATAAGATATACGCCTTATCTCGAATTTGCTGCGACCCCGAACGGGAGCCTCATGGAAACTCAAATATGTTCATCTTGGCGTTCCAACAGCGCCTGTTCACTCCATACGGCAGTAAAGCATCGGTGTTGAACACTGATGTCATGCTGTCGATGATGATGATGACTGGGCACTCCAACGTTTTTGAGATTTGTACTGAAACTCTCCAACACTCATGTCTTCTTAGTGGTTTCTCCGTAAACTAGGATCTCATCTTTTTTGTCTGCTTCCTTGTCAACATCTGCACTTTTCTCGTAACACTGTAACATGAATAGACACTACGCTCGGACTGATGGATTTTGCCGTTTTACGATACTGTACACCCTTTTGGAATGATAGTTTTCGATCAGTCTCATCGGTGTTCGCCCTAGAGAATTTTTACCTGCGCAATGCTTGTGCAATTGATGAACTAAAAACATGGTAAACTCTGAACCAGACTGGAATGGAACATTATGAGATTTTATACAGTAGCGCAGAATACCCCTACAGATTGTCGTACGCCGCTGAACCACCGTATGCTGTCGTTCATTCACGGCTTGTCTGTGGTTTATCGGATGAGTGACCAAATGTCACCATTCACGCCCACCCCCACCCCCCCCCCCGCCCCCGGCTTACCGTACCCTTTGTGTTGTGAACCTGAAACGAGATAGAGAACTATCACAACTTCCGTACTAAGCGTGTTAACTACTTGCTCACGTGCAACCCAACCACTTGATTTGATCGCTGTGAGTCTAGCAGCAAAAGAGCACGAGGTTCATAAGTACATTTAATGTCTACTAAATTATTTCACTCTTTATATTTCTCCGGAGAGTGTGCACTTTATACAGGAGGTCTGCGTGACTAAAGTACCTATGTCCAGATAGGATTTGTGTCGTTTTCCCATTGTAGCGGCTGATTTATTGTTGTAAAAGTTCTTTTCTGGTCTGTCGATTACAAATAAGTAACTCCCCAATTAACGTAGTATACGAAGTACTTTAAGGAAATCCCGGGATACTCCTATTGTGGTGCTAGGACTCGTAGTTCAGCTCACGACAAAGATTGGCCAATCCAATCACTTTTCCTAACATGCTTCACCTTTTATCTGGTCCGCTGGGTACCGTAAATATCATATTCGGATGCAATACGTGTCACCTTCACAACTGTAAGATGTTAACTGATTGTCTGTTTGGTATAGAGCAAGTTTGTCGGGGACCAGTGCCAGAGTTAGCCAGCTTTGACGCAGGTGACTGTCTTACAATCATTCGAGTTCCTTGCTTCTCCCCTTTGTTTGAAGGCTCGCTCAGATAATATCGACAAGTGTAACTTGCAGAGTGTATATTTCTATTTGTTCTCCTCATTATTTACTTCATTCTCACACAGACAACTTTTGCGCACTGGACAGCCTGTATCTACATCTAATGGACCAGTATAAGACAGTTTGCAAACAGCTGCCCTTGACAAGTGATCGTGCACAACAGTTGCACGACTTGATGAAGGTGAGTCCACATTAGTACCCTGTCAGTATTCCCTTCAGCATTTGTTTGATCTGGCCCACGCTGCTGACGGACAGTCCAGCGTCATTCCAACAGCTGACGAACTGGAAAGCCTGCTCCAAATGGACAGTGATGCGCGCAACTTGGATGAAGAGGTGAATCGGATGAATGTCCGAGAGAACAAGCTGTCCGTGGACTCACGTATGTCCATTTTTCTCCCCCTGACATTCTATGGTGCTTTGTCTTGCAGAGGTTACGTACAACTCCACTGCCTCATCGACCAGAGTAAATCGAAGGTCAGTCAAATCAAATGAGTTGCAGTCTTCACCCTCCTCCTCCTCGTCGTCGTCCTCCGCAAGGTCTAGTCATTTGCGGAATCGATCCTATGCGAATTCACGCAGTGTCCCTGTCACAATCATGCACGTAAGGAAATTAACCAATCGCTCGCATCCTTTTTCGGGTGCTTATTATCCATTTTCGGTTTTGATTGGTGTACACCGTAATAAGATAGATTCAGTAGATGCGGTTATGTTTGGTTTTTTATTCAACTTTTGACTTAGTTTCTGATTTCGTGATGACTATATTTTCCTGGATCTCAGTAAGCTCACACAGCTATCGATTTGATTACGTCTCTATCGTGGACACTTTTGCATAGCATTTATTCTGTATTCTAACATCGAGAGATCGAATTTCCTCATGCTTTAGTAGATCCGTTACTCTATAGACAAGAACTGTATGTGTGGTTTTTCTCTCCCAAATGCTATAAAAATCGCCCAGCTATAGCACCCTTTCGGTGCCTAACTGCCATGCTACCCGAAGGAAGCCCGAGGACTGGGATACTGCCAGGTTGCCCAGGCCTAGACAGGGTAAATCGAGAGGCAGAGGTCGGGTTCGAACCATGGACCTTTCGGTCAGTAAATTCACGCTCTAACCACTTGGGCCATCTCGTCCCATCTTAGAGAGTAAGTTCTATGGTAGAACGGTAGCTTCTCATGTTGGTGGAACAAAATGCTGGATCGGCTGTGTCAGTCGTATAGTTCGAGCCCTTAGCTCCTCTGCATACTTCAGCTGAAATGGGACACGAAATTGTTCACGTCTGTGGGTAATCCTTTTTGAGGAATCCGGGCATCACAGATTTCATAGTGCGCACCCTGGTGTTGAATATGGTTGGTGTGTTAACTGCATAGAAGTCTCGGATCATCATTGAACAGCGTACGTCCTAAATGTCCCAGCCACATGGGACCGACTTTCGGATTTTACTCGTTGCGATGAGTCCGGTGTGCACGCACTGACTACATTTGTCCTACATGTGAGCTCCGAAGGAATAAGTGGTCGCTTTTGACCACTCAAGCGAAAAGTTCTCACTTACCTAGATTTCTCATCCACTCACGCCAACCTGCCCGCTTCTTCAGCTTCATTGTCTCTTGACAGTTAGCGTCAGATGTGCGCATTCCTTGTCTAGGTATGGGGAACAGTCGCTCTTTGACGACGTTCTTCCTGGAAGCTGCCTTTAGCCATCTGTTTTGACCAGAGCCTCAATCGGTCATTACCTTTTCCTTTCGAGGACCACTCATGCTAAGCTGTCACTGCAGTGAATTGGCTACTGTCAATCTCATCCGTACGTTTTCAGGTGCCTCCACAATCAACTCAATTGGATGTGTCCAGTTCCACAACACAAGACAGTGGATTGTTCATTTCTTCTGTCGCCTCAGTACGGTCAAAAACAAAAACAAAGCTCCCTACCCGCACCACACCCAGATTGTCCTCTAATTCAAGCGCCCGCGAACGGTGTCCCATCCCAGCGGATTTGGATGCGAGTTCAACAGTTCAGTCAACACCTACATACAGCGCACCTCGGGAACGTGTGTCCGGCAGTAGCCTGTCTCATTCCAACTCAGTGTTTCTTTCCACTAGGAAAACCAATCAGTTATCGCGTGCTTCACAGACCCCGCCACTTCAGTCCACAGTTGAGCCTGCGGTTCGCTACCGAAACACAAAAGCTGAAGCCTTGAACCTGAATCGAATCGACGAAAGGTATTTTCCCTTCTTGGCCTTCTTTACAGTTAATTGTGATTGTATAGTTCAGCACATCCTTGCAATTTTCATATGTTATGTGCATTCTAGGTATCCTATGACCTTGTAAGTCCGTAAGCATGGTTTGACAGAACTATGGAAACACTGGTCGCTTTGAAAAGAAAGCCGCCATCGAAGTATGCCTCCAAAGTATGAATAATCTTTAGGGTCACCTCGTTCACACTGAGTGAGGAGAACACCGATAATGCCGCTCAGAATCGTCTTCTCTGAAATTGGATCATCCTTTTGACTTCGACTGAATTGATGTATATCGCGGGAACGTAATCCGCTCTTCACTCAACTGTGTTGACCTCGTCGTTTTGTCCTAACTTCCCTCAGGATTCTCAAGACGAGAATCTTCGTTGCATTGATTACTTTTGCACTGTTACATCACTTGTCGGATCAGGCTAATCCCCCATTCTGATTGACCGTTTACCTTATTTTCACCTTTACGGTGGTGAAGGTCGTTCACATATAACACCCTTCCGGTGCCTAGCTGCCGTGCTACCCGAAGGAACGACGAGGGTTGGGATACTGCCAGGCTGCCCAAGCCTAGACAGGGAAAGTTGAGAGACAGAGGTCTGGTTCGAACCACGGCCCTTCCGGTCATTAACCACTTGATCCATCTCGCCCCACGGTGGCGAAGCGTCAGTATAGAATATTGACGTTATGCTCTCGGCGATAATGATGACCCGGTTCTTGGATCATCTGAGTCCACAAACTCTACACGGTTTCTCCAATTATTCGCGTGCCAGCTATCCTTCGTATCATTTCATCTTCCGTTTGGGTTACTAATAGATAAGGTTTACCGAAATTCGGCTTGCTCTTTGGAAGTGCAATGCTGAACATTGCACATTGAACAACTGAACCCAATCACTTGATATCTCTTTCTTCCTAAACTGATGGATGACCTGTATGAATTACTCTGTTAACCCATATTTTTCTTTACCCCATTTCACGGCATTCGGGATGACCGGCATTAACAGAGGCAATTTTGAAGACCCCATCGTCTAATTTACTTTTGTCGGGTTTAACTAAGACGTCCCCGAGACATTATTGGGCAAACTGCCTAGTTCTGGGTAGCGCTTAAAACAGCGCCGTGGTTAAGGCGCGACCTTTTGCCGACCGCAAGGTCCCTGGTTAGAGTCCAACCTTGACATATTGACTGCTCCTTGCACCTCTTTCAAGCAGCATGACAGCTATGCGCCGAAACGGTGTTGCAACTGAACCATTATCTCATTTCCTTCACTAGCTGTAAAGATGCCTCGGCCACAGATACCGGTAGTCTCTTCATCGGCAAGTGATAGGAATGACAGTATCGGCTTGCCCTACTGAAACCTTAGCTTGCTCCGGTGACTTTTATCTGACCATGAGGTCACGCGTAGACAAACTGATTGACGAACGATCTGTGGTTGAACTCATGGCTGCTACGCAGGCGCGAAGGCAGGGATATTGCCAGGTTGCCCAAGCTCGAGCGGTCAAAACACTAGGGTTTGGTTCAAGCCGTGGACGTTGCAGGCCAGTAAGTTCGTGCCTTAATCACTGAGCTTTTCCGAAAGGGGATACAATAGTAAAAAAAAATCGGTTCTGTAGAAGTTCGTTTCGTAGTGTGAGGATTCCCTTTCAAATGGAAACAATTCTGCAGAACACTTACAGTCGCAGCTGGAACATATGGTAGAGTGTGGTCACCAGCATGACGGACAGTATGCCATCTGTTTTTGTTTACAGAGGACCACTAGGCCAGCTTAAACATGTTTGGATTTCACAGATGGACGCATTTCACCGCCTTTCCTAGTCAGTCGTTGTACTGTCGCGTCGCGCCTTTTCGCATTTTATGCGATGTTTCGGAATCAGTGGGCACTTGTGCACGTGTACCCTTGCTAAAACGTCCGTATCTGGTTCATTTGTCCGGCAGACCTATCAGGATTGCCTGCCTCCATAGTTCTGAGGGTCATTCCGTTTCAACATTGATCGATTGATGGCATAAAAAGGAGGACGTGTGATGCTTTTTCCAGCACGTGCCTTAAGTAAAAGCTGTTCGTTTGTGTTTTACGTTCCCGGTTGCGTTGTTTGAGATAGTCTGTGACAGAATCATTTAAAAAGCATTAAATTGCCCCTTGTTTCGAAATAATTTATCCAAACATTAAGTACTCTGTCCACTTTTTCAGGAGTTCAGCTACTGAGAACAGCAACACGCAGTGTAAGGGACTGATCGTAATAGCCACCAATTTAATTGTTTCCAGACTGCGGCTGTGCGGTAACTCAACTCATGCCTTGACTTCTTGCATGCCCACAGGCTCATTTTGCTGTCATCGCACCAAGTTATTTGGTTGGACGGTTTTCCTTTTTCCTTATTTATTGAATAATGCTCTACCAGGGTGGCAGTAGCCCTGGTTCTATTTGCAGCACTCAACATCAAGATTTGCTACTTTCGATTTGTGGGTCTTTCGACAAGGTCACCAGATTTATAGGATTGTATTTCGACCAATCTCAAGTTAATTACATCACTTAATGCGGATCAGGTGCTCGTCAAACTAAACTTGTTAGTTTGTGCCGCTGTACGCTATTCCCTCCTTTTCTCCCGATTTAGGGCTAAATCCGAGTGAGCAGGCTTATTAGCTTGTTTGTGTGAACACATCTCAAAAGGCTGCTTGTGTGTGGTATCTGAATAACGTGGAATCGAAGCCAGCCGTGATAAAACAGGGACCTCATCCACAATACCGCTGACTTCTGCGTACAACTTTTTGTCTATCGGGAGTTTGTCGTCGCTGCCATTGAGGAATCTCCTCTACATTCGATGGCCGTTGCCGAGGCGAATCATCTACAAGCTTTTCAGTTCTATCTACCTTGCTGGTTGGTTGGTTGTGCTACGCCCTCACCGTAATGATGAGGTTTGGACAGTTTGTATCATGGAAAACTCCATTTTTAACAACGCACTGTTTGTGATCGGTTCTACCTAGAGAGGATTCAGTGTTTCAAAAAACTGAGAATCCTTTTCTCAAGAAGAATCACTATATGCGAATCCTGTGTAAACATGATCTGCTGGAAATGCTGTGATAGCCACTGAGTTTTTAACTCAGCTGGAGCGGCCCTATGAGGTTATCTTGCGAAACGTTCCAACGGCTGAGTTGGACATATGAACGGGTGGGTGGATGTATGATAACAGCCCATTTGTACCGGAAAATGAGCAATTTTCACGGTCATACCGTCGACAGCTTATGATTCTCTCCAGTTAGTTACCTTTCTCTGTTCGTTTAAACGCTGAATCGGTTCACTCCACTGAAGAAGCCAGTCTAAAGAATACCTTTATAGCACAGGAGGCAGAGTACTTTGCAATTGCTACTCATCACAATATAATGATAGAGCTAAGATAATCGTTCAGCTGTAGTCTAACTGCCGTGTCACTGGAAGGAAGCACGAGGGCTAGGATACTGCCAGGTTGCCCAAGCCTAGACAAGTAAGTCAAGGGGCAAAGGTAGGGTTCGAAAACGGGCCTTCAGATCATCACAAGAGCCCAATGGCGGTACAATGTCAAGGTCATCAGTAGCGGACCAAGGGTTGTTGACCCTTCAGACTATTTCCAAGGTGTCATATCGCACCCGGAAAACGTCTTCCATATTCTGCTTTTGAGCGTGAGTCTGTTTGGCGTCACAGACACTGGTTTAACTTGTCTTCCCAAGGTTTATACCCGGTCAACCATAGACACGAGCCTGTGGCATACACAGTACCGCAATCCATCCTCATTATTCACGAGGAAAATTGTGCTATTCTGTTTGGTTAACGATGACTAGCACACACGTTATGGCCTTGACTCAATGACGCACACGTGTGCTTGCTGTCCCTTTTCCATGCAAATTGGTTTTCTCTTGCAGTTGTCTCGTTATTTACCCACTCACTCCCCAGTCGTTGAGCTACGTACAATTGGCGATCAATCAACAACGATATTACTAACCAACCCGTTGTTTCCATTGATGCTTCGGTCTCTTGGCAACGCCCTGTCGTCCCACCAAGTGACACACCCATACTACGTATATTATCTGCCCCGGTGACTCAGTATTTCAGTTTGTTGCCGGTATTAGGGACAGCTTACTTTTTAGGAACATGTGATCATTTGTAGTTGCAGACCCACAGAATCTCCGGAAATCGGTTGTGACTACAAAGTGTGTTTGTTTTCGATCTTGCTTGTGACACCCCGCCTCTGCCTCAATGTGTGTACAAAGTTTAACCCGCTTGCAAACTAGTATATTGCCTTTTGGGATTTTGTCCCCACAGTCAAAAAGCTTTGTCAACGTCGGATCAATAAGTTGATGGGTAAAACCAGGACACTTTGTAGAATCAAACGTTGTTAGACATTTTGACAAAACTGATCGATAGCTAAGCTCAACGGACTACACTGCGTAATGCAGTTAATCAGATCATCCTGCCAGGTTCATCCTCCGCTGCAATAAATTCACACTGACATTTGGTCGACCAGTGAAACAGGCACCTGAGAGGTGAACAGAAGATACACATCGGGCTGCCACCTTCGAGTGGATGGGTTATCTACCCAACCATGTTGTTCCCGTCATCGTTGTTTTCTGCCGTGTGTGAGAGATAATGGGTTGCCACTCCGGCAAAGGTGTTAAGGTATCGCCTGGAACGCTGTTTTCTTGATTATGGCCCTGGAAGATAGCTCCTCCCTTCTGTTGTGCTTCTTCCGATGGCATCAGGTCTTTTGTAGCCTCCATCTTTTGTCTCGTTTCATCTGGTGGTCGTATTTACAGATTTTCCTATAGATTAATCCTTGAAAGAAATCGTTCAGCTGTAGCACCCTTTCGGTGCCTAGCTGCCATGCCACCCAAAGGAAGCACGAAGGTTGGGATACTGCCAGGTTGCCCAAGCCTAGACAGGGGAAGTCGAGAGGCAGAGGTCGGGTTCGAACCACGGGCCTTCCGGTCAGCAAATTCGCACTCTAACCACTTGGTCCATCCTTGAGCAAGCCTACTGTGGCCTCTTTCGGCAAACCTGTGGATATGGAAATTGCACCGTAAAAAAGCTATCTTTGTCTTGGGCCACCATGTTACCACTTCGAACAGTGTTTATTCGAGCCGTTCAACCTCGCAGGGACAATGGATTTCATAGGTACGAGAAATCGGGTGCTCATTTGGCAGTCGCATTCTTTTTGAATCCCGTGGAGGGAAGTTTTCCGCCCCATGTGTATTTGTTCAATTTTGGGCTGCGTCATGTATCGATGTTTGGCTTTCCGCTGAAATCGATCGGTCGCAGCTGCTTTCCCGATTCTCAGGGAGAGTGATGAAAACACCACACTTTCCAATTGGACGAGGTGCTTTTTAGTGCACCGGGTGCCTGTTTGTATGTGTGTTTTCAGAAACCGCACACACACAGGCAGTTGAATTTTCTGTCTACCTCTGACTCTTTCGGTCCCTTGGAAAGAAAATGCAACGTGGGAAACTAGGTCCCACAAACAAGTTTTATCCCCCAGCGTCGCGCATAGATTTTATTCTCTCATCTCTGAATCAAATGGTTAATATCTCACAAGCTTGGTTTTTCTGGGAAACTGAGAAACATCGGTACATTACTGGTACCTGGTACCGTTTTCTACTAAGTGCTCCTTTCAAAATGGCAGTGCAAGGTAAAGCCCGGTCGATGGTCTGCCACTAATTTTTGGCTACAAAACAACCTAGCCTCTCTTGACAAACTGGTTATATGCGATAAAACATAGTTGCAGTGGATCGTCGGACGCATCGGTGAGGGGATGTTCTTTTAGGCGTCCTTTTGAAATAACATTTCCAGATGTTTATCGTCTACCTGCTGACGGCACTCTTCCAAGTGCCCCCCACCCGTTTGAATATTTCAGGTTTTTCAAATTCCTTATTACGTTTGCTCCTGGCGTTTTCTTGACCTACGCAGAGAAAACATCCTCGAACCCGCAATCTTCTTTTGTTGGAATCCATCTGCAATTGGTGTGACCGATCGCCTGGCACAAACCTGAGCTAGAATCACTATACGGTGTATTTGATCAAAGCAGGGCGAATCGCAAGCTGGCTTGGAACATCCTGAAGCTAGAAATGACCAGTTCCCACAACTGACTTGAATTGCAAGCAATGTTTTAGCAAGCCATGTGCCTTTCGTTTCATCCAATGCGGCCCGGGTCGACCCTCAGGACTCAATTGAAACGACCGCGTAGATTGATAAGTTTGGCGGTTCAGAAGATAGCGGACAGTTTTCAGACTGTAGGTTCACCCCTCCATCACATTTGTACCGTACAGGTTGCAGTAACACATCAGACGCTGAGACCAAACACGCTTATCAGACGGCTATCGATCGGAGACATAAAACACAAGTAGTTCACTCTACATCGGTCGTGTGCTATGCCCTAACCTGCATCAGCATGCTCGAATCAAGCAAGCTTCATCCTCAGCGCGGTCCGTTTCGCACATACTGGCGGTTGAACACTGAACACTGTGTTGTTTTGTATGATTGGGATCCGCGAATTCCGAACCCGAATGCGGGTATCTGTTCGTCTGATGTGTTCGATCTTGTATGGTGTACAAACCCGCATCAACAACCACACCCCTCCCGTCGCCAGCACGGATACATTTATCATCAGGCCAAAGCAAGGCCACAATAACAGATTGTTCGAATTTCTGACGTGCCTCAATTGTTCTCTGATTAACAAGCTTTTGGACCGTTATTTTTCTTCTGTTTACAACTCATCGCACTTTTCTGTTCGGCCCTCTTCACTTCTGTCTATAATTAATGGCTGAGAACTGGCGGTGATTTATGTTCACCCGGATATCCGTTGTCTCACACTTTTGCAGTTTCCCTCCATATTCAATTGCAGCGCGTTCGATTGCTTCTGTACTGCACACACACACGATCACGTGCAGTTGTTCGATTTATTGTTTTTGTTCCATACATAGTAGATCAGCTGGTGGCTAACTGAAAACTAACATCACAGATGGTCATCCCTATTGCAAATGACAGGTTTGCGATGTTTCAAGACAGTACCCTGCTTTTGTGCGCTTGTCTGTTCGAAGGAGCCGTGTCTTATCATGAGGAACTACCTTCTCAAGGAAATAATTCTAGTATTTTTTCCTCTCATTGACACACTACCCATAATGTTGCTGTAAACCCTTTGAAACTCCACCACCGGCTTCGCCCTGCGAAGCATCAGGTAGGCGCAGTCCCCGAATTTCCCTCAACTTCATGTTCTACTGGAATAGGATGTAATAGGATGTAATTCCTGGTTACTGAACTGGCCGGTTGTCTTTGGAGAGGAGAGATTACAATATCATTGTCCCTTATGGATGGCCTGGACGCGTCAGTTGGAAACCTTGTGAAAACCGACCGATGTGACTGGCAACGTTATTACACTATCCCCGGTTTTGCTGCGCTCATTTTGACCCGGCTGATAGTTTGACACAGTGGCAATTTGGGACAGGCCACAACGGGATGTGCCTCGAGTGACCAAGGCAATCAATGGTATGCACGCAGCCAAACCTGTCGATGTACCAGTCCTGAAGGAACACAGAAGGTCTTACTAATTCTGCATGATGCGAAAACAGAACACCTGAGCTACACAGTAGGTCCTACATCATGGTGAAAGGAAGAAGGCCTTCGCTGCGGAGCTATCTGTTAGAAAATGCCAACTGACCGGTTACAGACTATTGGACAGGGAAGCAAAACTCTCATATGCATCGTGTTTACAAAAACGGAATATCCATCCTATCTTTCTGAACGCGTCATCCTGAACTTTTTTGGATTTCATTGACTGTTGCTCAAGTCAAATGCTACAAAGCGACTCCACAAATTCCGTAATAGATCTTTCATTTTTAAGAGACGCAAAGCGGATTTACGAGAAAACATACTACTCGCACGCCTCCCCCCATCAGTAGTATCACTGTTACAATGGTAGTGTGCCATTTGTAGTTGACCTGAATTTACCCCTCGTCAGCCACGCAAAGCAGACAAAGTTTGATTGGTTTAGCATGATCGTGGTTGAAAACGGAGAAAAGGTGAATGATGGGATCAATCGAATCGTGATAGCGCGGAAGCGCAAAGATACTCATGAGGTCGCGCTTGAACCACTGACCTCCCGCTTGCCAGCAGACGTTACTGAGGACGGCACCTCACGTAACATCTGTGCGGTTGAAGCTCACGTGTGCTTCTTTATAATGGATCAATAGTTGAAGACTGTTAACACTACTAGCGAGCCCTCTGTTTGATAAACATTCGTGTAAGCTGCCATGATGCAGAAAGTTCACATGACACACCGGTGTTGAACTCGAACTGGAAAGCTACTGCGTGCCCACTTCCCATCATGTACGGTGTGTCACCAAGTAAAGCTCTTTTCAGCGAAATGCTGTGAGAAGTGTGAATTGCCACGTAACAGAGGTGCTCAAACTGGCGCTTTACACCACGCCTTACTCCCTTAGGTTTTCTCAGCCTCCTTTCTTAGTTCTAATAGAACCGAGATGCTAATCCGGACTTACTTGCAGTTGAATTCCCTGAGTATCATACACTAGACTGGGGCTGGCACTAACTCTTCTCTTCGCATGGTTTTTTCCAAATGGATTACTCTTGTTATTTTTCCTCTTGGAACTCTGGCCCATGTTCGTAACATGACTACTATGTGTCTCGGATTAAGCAAGCTGGTTGCTGTGATTTTCGATTTTCCAAGCTTGACCAGATAAAGTCCGTCTGGAAACCAGACGTGCACACGAACAGCTACACAAAATCAAACTCCTTACATCCCTCATTGTGTCCCTTTTTCTGGGACTTTGGTTATTCTGGAGGTGCACTGTTGGCGATTGATTTCTAGTGTGATGTTCCCCGTTGTTTGTGTGCATCTCATACGATAGTTATTGACCGCTTCTCCAGGCGTGCCAACTGCTCCCTGAGCGTTTTGGTCACAACTCGAGGAAAGACATCGTCCGTTCACACAGAGGCGGATATCCACTCCTTTACTGTTTCTCTGTATACAATTCAGCTAATAGTGTCCCGTACCTTCTTTGATCTGGCGGCTTCACAGGTTGTTTGGTTGTACTCATGGAACAAACATCTGGTTAAATTTTTAAATAAATACACAGTGGGTGACGCGATACGCTATCGAAAAAGGTCTCGAAATGGAGGATTCCTGTTTACCTGTGACTGGGATTTTCAACGAATGATACACTACTTTAGTAAACCAGAGCCATCGCGTCATAGAACCCGTACCAGTGTTTGGGCGTTTCATTTGGCTGGTGGGGGGCACGTGTGGATGGCTCCATCCTGAAGAGGAGACCATCTGTGGAGGGACCGACGTTGTGGTTTGTTTCACGAAGGACTTTGTGAATGAAGTGTCCTTCAAGGGACCAACCAAAACTTTTGATTGGTCTCTCGAGGGGAACAACCGGATTGCATGTATTTCGAGTTCCCAAGTGTAAAATCTGTGCTCTCGTTGCGCCCAAGTTCTCAACTGCTCCTGGTGATAGCTAGGCCCTTGTCGTAATATTGGGTTCTAAACGTGGACACTTCTGTTTTCTTCATTTTTGGAAGGGTGCTTTCGCCAAACCGTTTTATTTTTCGTTCGGTTCGTGAGTGTTTTTCTACTCTAGCTCTAAACCGTGTTCTATATGCATAAGTTTCAATCAAGCAAAACCATACTCACATAGTTCCGGTCGTTTTTTGAATCACTTCAACTCGTTTCACTCCACCGCGCTACTGTGGATGATTTGCATCGCTCGTTCGCTCTTTTCACAGCTAGCGGGTTAATTAGATACACTGTGACGTTGAACTGAACTCTTTTTCTCTTGTTTTCTTCCTTGGTCAGACCACTGTGCACGTCGAGAATGTGTGTTACCGAAAATGCCGCGACCCAGCCTACTCGTATAGTCCCGTCCGTACAACAGCGACAACAACCAGTGATGGAGAAATCAGGTGAGGCAGGTGAGATTCTTGACTACTAATGCGTGCGGTTGTGAAACATGTTTGTGTGAAGCACCAATTGTTTACCGGTTAATCAGATTGTTGCATCATGAATGTCCCTGGAGCCACGTTTTTTTTCAACCTGCTGGAAACGTTGTGTTCGATAAAAAAAACGAAATATTGCATAGCCAATGGCACTGTGGAGAGTTCGGTGCACTAAAATTGCTGGAGCCAAGTGTGTCACTGAGCACGACTACCACTGTTTCATCATTCCACCCCGTCTGAGGAACATGTGCCAAACCAAGTCCATTGGTCTACTCATCTGCCTTTAAAAGTCTTGCGGACAACTTGCCACTGCGGCTTCTCGTCATTTATCTCAGTCGAAAGTGCTGCCGCGTTTCCTTTAGCTCGCTAACGCTGCATCAACCAATAACACCTCGTCATTATCAGCATCGATATGGACACTGATGCTTCACTGCCGTGCAATCACAAAGTTTATCTCATTATGTTTGAAGCCTTAGGATGAAAAGAAGTGGATGGGGCATTCTGAGGTGCCCACAAATCCAAGCACTCAATCAGAGAGTCTAGAAAGAAACTGAAAGCACGAACGTCATTGAGATCGATCAGCCGCCATTTCTCGCACGGTCTCCAGCCAAGCGCAAGAGAGGGCAACCCATCTTGGAAGGCGTGCTGCACCAGGAACACACTCCGTAATCAATTTCACACTCCCCTGCCAAGTCGTACGTTGTCTACCTCGCAGTTTGCACTATTCTGAATGGGGCACAGAGAACAATACTCGTTTCGATAGACGGTGTTTTGACCTGCGTAGCACATCACTGAGCCACAATAGTTGGTGGTGCTGGGTGTTTTATGCGACTAAAGTACCCGGTGTACAGCCTAATACCCGGTTTCTAATTGCCTGGTCACAAATCCGTCCACACCATTCGAAACCAGCAACGCTTCTAAGGTATCGGTGGTCAAATACCTAGAGACGCTTTACATCATCTCTCTGCAAAGGCCATGTTTCACAACCTTACAACAATATAGCCTTATCTTTGTAACGTACTACTCATAGGGTTGCTGAAAATCCGTCGACAGCCCACGACCGGTTTCGCCCTTTTTGGTGCTCATCAGGTAGGCGCAGTCCCCGGGTTTCCGTCAACCTTATGCTCTACTTGAAACCAAGTTGCACGAAATTAGCGAATCGAATATACACTCATTTGCAAACTAATTTGGTTTTTCGAGTGACTCACCTGGAACCCAGCTGAATCTCTCGTTTGTGATGTTTTCAGGCAACTGAATGTGTTACACCACGCGGCCTCATATTTCTGTCGCTACGATATTCGAGATATCGCGATACATGTATATCTTTGTAATGCTGAAAACATCACAAACAAGAGATTCAGATGGGTTCCAGGTGAGCCTCTCGACACGCGACCTTTGAGACCGCGTGATATGCCTTTTTGACGCCACAAGTGGGCTTTGAGATTCGTTCACTGACTTCATCAGGCACACTTCCGTCATAGCTCATACCAAGGAATGGTTCAATATCCCTCATATGCCTTCAAATCCCTCATTCTTTGTAAGGAGGCCTGACTTCACATCAGTAACTAATTTTAGTCTAAACATTCGATGGGTTTTTGAATCGATCTTTCGAAAATAGGCCGATATTGCGTTGTCTCACATGAGAGCTCAGTGTGGTCTATTGACCTGTGAATGGCAAGCACCAATTAGATTTATCGTACCACCTCGTTTGTCGGATTTATCAGTCAACTTGACGATTTGTGGAAGTTTCTACGATCTGAGAAGCTAGCTTTGTTGTCTGTTCCCGGTACGTTACCTCATTGGTGGAAATAGTGTAGACTGAGCTTTCCCGAGTTTCTGTGGATGGTCAGTGGCCAGAGATGTCAGTACGTAAATTTCTCTGGCCCATTCGATTCCAGACCGTGTCCCAATTCACCCAATGCATGACTTCAATGGTTCCAATTGATCCGTATGTGTTTATGCATTTTCTTCATTTCCGTGGCTGTTTCTAAGCTGTTTTGAGCCTCATTTCTCGTTAAGTGTATAATTGATGATTCCTTTTTACCTGTCCTTAACACTTCGGAGATCGAAGCACTCCTTCGGACGTTCTGTCGCGGATATTGAGTGCGCCGGTGATATTGCTCTTCTTCTTGGATCAAAGTCTAGAAATTTCTAGTGTTTTAAATGACCTAGGTGATTCTGCTGTACAGTCCGGCATGCGCTTCACACCTGTAAAGCGTAAAGTGTTACTGCAAGACTGGGTGACATCAAACGCAAAACTCATACTTGCAGGTGAACTGATCGATATCGTGGATAAGTTCGTTTATCTGGGGAACTAACTAAGTGCCGGCGGACTGGCAAAAGACGAAATCACTTCCCCAGTTGGAAAGTCTAGCCTCCGATATTTATGGTGCCGACATTAGGCCCGCCTGACTGTCTAGTGTAGATTGTAGACCAGTTCTACTTTATGAATCAGAGGCGTAATCCTTGCGTCCGGAAGATCTTCGGTGACTCTCTTTTTGATCACCTGTGCCTTTGAAGCTTTTCCCCGATCTGGTGGAACATAGATCAGTAATGCTGAAGTACGCTAGATGCTTGTCTGGTAAATTCACTCCCCACCCCCGAGAGATCAGCTTGTCGGGCCATGTACTTCGTATGCCAGGGGACCGTTTGCCTCAAGGAGCTCTCTTCACCCAGCCTTGTGTCGGACGGAGGTGACCCAGAGTAGGTCAATCCATGGCTTGGAAATGAAGCACGAACGTTCCTATTGGTAAAATGAGTCGCGTTGGTAACTGTCGTCTAAACAGATGGTGACCGTGAGGAAGGACAGACCAATGGCTAGTATCCCTGACAGATATGTCAGTGTCACACAGCCAATGGTGGTTTTGTATCAAAGCCATCGCGTTCACTGCGTAGCTCAAACTTGATGGTATACTGGACAAACAGAAACTTCAGTTTTTCGGCAATGCACAGAGTGAGACATTGCATCCAACACATGGCTCTCATTCTCTGGTTCCCCTTTTTCTCAGTGGCTGGAACCACTACACTATGGTGCATGGTTTGTGAGCTGAAAAAAACTGAAACTCAACTCAACATGTTCTGAAGATAGCCATCAGTACTAAGCTTCTCACAGAATATCCTCATTTTCGGTGTTTTTTTCTCGGGTATATTTTCTAAACAGCATCGAAATGCTCCCAGCTTTGTTGGTCTTTGGTCATTCCCGCTTTGTGAGGAACATTTCTGATTCACGTTTGATTGTCCAGTATTCGTTCAGCTGTGGCACCCTTTCGGTGGCTGGCTGCCATGCCACCCGAAGGCTGCACGAGGGCTGTGATACTGCCAGGTTGCCCAGGCCTAGACAGGGGGAGTCGAGAAGCAGAGGTCGGGCTAGAACCACGGACCTTCCGGTCAGTAAATTCGCGCTCTGACCAATTGTCCATTATTACAGTCATACAAAATTCGGAGTTGTGCAAGCAATCAGGTTGTATATCTCGGCTGTCCTACAACTTTCATTTGGCTCGCCCACCTGCCATTCATATCTGTCAGTCTCTATCCTCCCTTTAATTCTTTTCAGATTCTAACTCGGATCCCTATGTGACAAGTGACGAAGATGAACGAACGCAGTCCGCAGACGAATGCTCAACCCAAAGTGATTACTCTGTGAAATTGATGAGTCCAACTTCACGAATGGACCACGCTCACCGAACACCACCGCACCATACGTCATCAACAACCACTGTACCAATCTACACTTCGAATTCAAAGGCACCATTTCCCACCAGTGATACAACAGTGAATCCTCCCAACAGCTCCCTGAAGCAGCTATTTCGGCGCCAACTAAACCGTCGAGTTTCCGCACGAACCGCCCGCGTAGTTCCAAACACATGTTCGGCGGCTGTTAGTCGACCCATGCTATCTGGAGGATTTAAACCTGCGCGATGTTACGTTGTGCTTGATCCAGGAGAATCCGATATGTATCCGCCGCCGCCCGCCTACGCCTCGTCCTGCCGTTGCTGTAACACCGCAAGATCTGTCTCTGACTTGAACTCCTGCCCCCTCGCATGCAAGTGTTTTACCTGCGGTGGGACGGGAGAACTGCCGGTATCATTTCGAGGCTCGATGGCCTCTCTCGCTCACCCGGACTCTCATGGAGTACCATGTGTAGCCTGTCCCCCCAGTCCTCTCCGTAGACGAGTAATGTCCTACAGCAAGTGAGTCATTTCGAAAGATTTTCTCATCTTATTTCAATCCAACCAGAAAGCATAGCGTGCGGGTTGTCTCCCTTAGAGAAATTTCATGGGTCCCTAAAGGAGAAATAGGACAGGCCTGTGACCTCTAGCAGGCAATGGAACTCGTGACACTGAAGATCATTACATGTGTGTATCAAATACGGGTGTAACGGTGATACTACCGATCGGGAGGCACGCGAGTAGCATGTGCCGTTCGTAGAATTTCGCTTTGCGTCGATTGAAAAATGGAATTCTGTTGCGGAATTCGCGGGGCCACTTTGTAACATTTGCTTTTATTTGACCGACGAATGATTGGAGGCAATGAATCTCCAGGAAGACTCGTTCGGGAGAAGATCTGTGCCCAGTTTTTGTAACTAAGATGCAGATTAGAGTTTTGCTTCCTTGTTCAATGGTCTGTAACCGGTCAGTTGGCATTTCCGAATAAATAACTCCGCAGCGAAGGCATTCTTCCTTTCATTTACTAGATCGAGATAACTCGGTGTTTAAGGCCCCAACTTACTGTGGCTTGAATCCAACCTCAGCATCTCATTTGCTTCTGTCTAGGTTCCGGCAACCTGGCAGTATCTCTGCCTTCATGCCTCCTTCTGGTGGCCGTGCAGCTAGGCACCGTACGGTTGTTACAGCTGAACAACTGGGATTTTATAGACCGTGGATTTCCACTTTTAGATTGACCGGTGAACCAGTTATTCCGATAAAAATTGTGAGTCCTATGTACAGCCCTATGAACGTGTTACGTCGAGACTTTACTTCGTATTTTCAAGCGCAAAGGATACCTTTGTCCACGACATTATTCGTTCAGCTGTAACACTTTCGGTGCCTAGCTGCCATGCCAGCCGGAGGAAGCACGAGGGCTGGGATACTGCCAAGTTGCCCAGGCCTAGACAGGGGAAGTCGAGAGGCGGAGGTGGGATTCGAACCAGGGACCTTCCGGTCAGTAAATTCGCGCTGTAACCACTTGGGCCATCTCGAAGTGAAGAGAACGATATACATCTTTGCGCATACTTTCAGCCAAATTTGCAAGATGCATTGATGACCTTTCATCCAATTCCCAGACAAACATTCATACCGTATCATTGAAATACACAGACGGTAATTTCAAACCAGTTGGGAGAAAACTTTCTGGTATGGTAGATGAACCTAAACGGTTGAAAACAGCCCTTTTCTCGAGGTACTTTCCCCAGTAGATTGTAAGATTCGGAAATATTTTGCGGTGGCAAGCACACCTTCCGGTTGACTGCAACCCAAGCCCTTTATTGAGTTCTGTTCACGACGTGAACAATAAATCAGACGGAAATGGTTTTCCAAATTAAATTTTGTGAATCCATGGTTGAGACATCCGATATTAACTCGGATCAGACACGGAATCTTATATCATTCGGCTATAACACCTTTCGGTGCCTAACTACCATGCAACCAGAAAGAAGCACGAGGGCTAGAGTACTGCCAGGTTACCCAAGACTTGACAGGAGAAGTCGAGAGGCAGAGGCCGAGTTCGAACCACAGACCTTTCTGTCAGTAAATTCGCACTCTAAACACTGAGGATCTCGCCATCACGGAATCTTAAATGGTATTTGTCAATCCACTGGTGTTGTAGCTACATATTTCATTCTCTGAAGCCTGATGCGAATTGGTTAAGGATAGGTCCTCGCGTGCGTCAAACTCATGGACATCCTGGAGGGCAAGTTAACCGTTGTAATCCGGAAAAAAAGTGACTGAATGAGCAAATCACAGAAAAAATGTTCAAAACCCATTTATGCCTTCCCCATAGTTTCACTGCTTGCGAAGTGGGCCAACTTGCAAATTTTGAAAAACAACTCCAAGGGCATCGAAACTTTCCTCAGGTACTCACACGCGGCCGATGGTGATGATGAAAAGTTGTTGGCGACGTTTTCCTGATTGACAACTGCAACTTCTCGGCTTTGTTCTGTTTACCCACATAAACATGTGTGACGCGAAGCTTGGTACCAAGTAACAGATTCGGTACCTTGGCTAGTTACAGGTAACCATGTAAGATCCAAACGACGCAGACTGGCTACGTTACTCTTCCATACAGTAGCCGAATCAACGGTGATAATATACTTTGGGAGGTAGAACGTGCCTTTCAGTCTGCTCGAGTTTCCTCGATTGACCTGATTCTGTCGGTGGTCAGGTGATACAGGCCAGACGTAGCAGGAATCTGTAATCGTTGGAAATTCCGGGTCTCTGAAACAGGCCGAGGGCAGCACGTAGCGTTCCTTATGCAGACACAAGTTTGTCGTTTATTAGCATCCAGTTCTGACTTCCAAATGCTTACTTATTGTGCCTTTCCCATTTCAAGCGGTAAATTCGAAATTATCAAATTGTAACCAACGCGAAAATGACTCCACCCACGCGGTACCGTATGATGTGCTGTGATTGTCTGATGGCTTATGCTGACATAGTTTTGAGGAAATCTATTCTACCACCATGTTCCATCACCTCGTTTGCAAACAATAGTTCTCTCCTATTCTGACCATGACCCTACACTTAGAACCAAGCGGGTGAGCTGGACCAGTTCTCACGTTCGTGAAAATACAGATCAACAGATTATTATTTGTGCCGCAGTCAAATGATCTGTTTTTTGGCCTCATACTGTGTATCATCGCTCGACTCGGCGAGCGCATGTTCTCTGACTTCGACCTGCATGGCATCGCCTAGTGTTTGTGAAACTTCGCAGCACATTCCGTTTACTTGTATGTTTAGAAAGAAATGAACTTTTGGCAGATTTAAGCAGGTTTTCAATAGATCTTTCTTCCTTTCAGTGCATTCAGTCTGTGCCGAAAAGCACTGTATGCCCGTTCGATCCTTGTTAGGTATCATGAAGAATGAGCATCCGACGAACTTTCAGGGCGGTTCGAACTCGCAACCCCCCGGTCGAAAGCTCATCCATGAACGGTCGGTTAGGAGTGTGGTCAACTCGCACTCAGATGGGAAGGGGTTTTATTTTCCGAGTGAGAACTTTCACTGTCAGCGTATAAAAGGGAAGCAACTGGGACGGTCGGACTAGTCCCACGCGATTTGATTACGCGAAGCATCCACATGTGTGGCAAAGTGCTTTTGGAAACGCGTGTAATTATCTGATGGTTCATAGTCGCATGGCAAATAGTCTAGAATTTCGGTGATCAAGGGCGGTCTTCAAGGAACAATTGCGCAAACTGAAACTGGACCAAAGCGGAATTGGAAACAGACTACTCTCATCTGCACACGAATTTGGTTTTGACAGGAGACTCAGCGGAATCCAGCTGAATCTTTCGTTCATCCTGGTCCGCTCCAACTGAATGTGCTGCACCAGGACGCCTCATATTTCAATTGGTACTGTTTTTGAGACATCGCAATACGTTATTGTCTAGACGTAACACACTACTCATGAAGCGACAGGGAACTCCTACCGCCCACAACCGGTTTCGCCCTTCTTGGGGCTCATCAGGTAGGCGCAGTCCTCGAATTTCCTGACCATGATAAAGGGGATAGTCAGCAGGGTTCGGCTAAGTCACCCGTTAAAACCAAATTGGTGTGCAAATGGCCAATTCCGTCCAATTTGGGTTCGAATAGAACTTAAGGTCGACGGAAACTCGGGACTGTGCCTATCTGATGAGCCCCAAAAGGAGCGGAACTGGTCGTTGGCTGTCGACAAGTTTTCAGCAACCTTGTGAGCAGTGTATTTCGGCTTGTTTCCAACCTAATTTTAGCTTCTACCATTCTCCCTTCTAAAAAAAAGGCCGCCGTTGGCTGTCGAAATCCAGTTGTCTCATTCTGAAAATTCAAAAATGTCATCTTTCTACTCACCGTTCCTAGACTTCAGCCTTCTCCATCGCGAAGTCGATTCAGCTCATTGCCTGAGGTGTGCAGTGTATGCCTCTCACGTAGTAGTGAAACGGGTTTCGACAGGCACCGAGACTACATTCACATCGCTCAGTTGTATCACCTTTCTGGTGCCAAGCTGTCATGCCATTCGAAAGGAGCACAAGGGTACCCTCGGACCTTATAAATAAAATTTCCGTCTTTGTGCTCACTATTCCAATCCTCACGTTAAGTATTTCATAATAATGCCAGATTTTCAGTCGTCGGAGTCCTCGAATGTTGTCCTGTATTCGAACATAAGTTGTGTTTAGAACTGGATTTTCTCTGAATGTTCATTGAACTTTCTGTTCAGCCTAGAAATGGAGTAGGTAGTGTCGGTACTTAATTGTGCCTGAATACATCTTTTTATTCTCCCCTCCCCCGAAAAAAGTCTCGCTGGACCCGAAGCACACTACTCAGTGAGAGAATACAGCGCCTGGGGTGGTCACCGGTACTACTTCCATGAATTTCAGCGTCCATATTCGCATCGGCAACATCATCACCACCATCGCATGGAAGTCCACAGTTGAATGATTTCCTTGTTGGTGAGTTTTGGGGGTGTTTTACTTGCTGTTCTCAACAGTTTATCTGTGGTCTATGCAATAAAACTCGGAGCAGATAGCCAAATTTTTGCAACAGCCGACGCTAACCGTCACTTCAGGAGCTTTTGGGGTCGGTTGATATCCAAGGGCACCCGTTTGCCAAACAACGCATTTGAACCGCCTTCGGACTTTGTGGAAAGTTCGTTGTACTTTTGGGTGAGGATTGGACCTTTTAGCCGAAGGTCCCCTTTGTACTTTCAGATTTGATTCTTCAAACCCTGTCACAGTTGAGGCGCCCCCCCCCACTCGTCCGTACGGCCATAGGGTATCGTCCATTGTTCCATCCTGCTCCCTGCTTCAGCGCCCTGTTTCATAATTAAACTAACACTGTCGCAAGGCATCGAGGCAATACAGCATGATGGATCGTCGAGGTTCAAGGTCTCATCCCTTGTTCTTCCCAACAATATTACGAACAGAGGTGAATAAATAGTAGCTCGTTAGTTTCACTGCTTAGCCGGATTTAAAACAAAGTGATCAGTAACACCTTGTCTAACGGTCTGCGATTTTACCAAAGGATGCTGAGTCGAATCCAATGCTCATAGTTTCTTGCATAAGACCAACCTGGACCAACCCGTTGCTATGCGGCCTGTGCTAATTAGTTTTGTACGCTTAGGCCGCTCCGAATTGAGGCCATTTTTAGCGTATCTTCACCTCAAACACACACACACTAATATCATCTCTTTCTTTTACCGCCGCAGAACTTCCGTCGAAACAGGGATGCCTCTGCTCGTCCATTTGATTGGCAAAAATTGATTGCAGCTAGCTGGAGTTTTGTCTAAATACAGTTTGCCAGTTAACAGCCATTTTGTTAACCCAATGTGATGAATTTTCCTTACCCCGACTCATCTTTCTAAAGTGCTACCCTTAACATGCATGTGAGGTCAGTCCCTGTCCCAGTTGCTTCCTTCGATGGACATCAGTTCACTTCTTTTTTAAAAAAACTTAATTGTATTTCATTTTATTATCTTCACATCGTCCTGTACATGTTTATTGCCTCAATTTGAAGGGTATGACTGCGTTAGCTTGTCGCATCTCCTTCACTTAGTGTAATTTTCAATTTGTACTCGCCTTCTGATGACAGTATATTGTTTGTGATATAACACGTTTGATTGTTCCAACTACGGTCCACCCCACCGCCTGCCTCCTGTGTTAGCACAGTAGGTATCCCGACCGAAGATCGGTCGGCTCACGGAAAGAGGCAATCTCTTCCATTTTCTCATTTGGAATAGTATTCATACTGAAAACTAAGACATCTAGCACCATCAGAAGAAGTCCTTTTGGCTAGCCCCTCGAGGCTTCTGTTGAATTTGAGCACCTGGGAGCGACCAGTTCTCGGTTTCGACTTTTGGAACGGATTCCGACCAAGCAACCTCCCACAACGGAGACAGAAAGTTTCGTGACTTTGCTTGTCGTTCCATTGCAGTTTGTACCGACTGTCCATGCAGAACAAGGTGTCTTTGAGTCTACTTTCATGGATTAACTTTTCTAATGTGAGACTACGCGTACTGCATTACAATGGAATATATAGAGTAGACCCGCCGCTGATTTCACTCGATGTCCCGCTCCTTTTGATTGCGTCTGGAATTATTGTGCATCCTGTGTTTCACTTTAGAGCGATCGGTGTGAAGACGGTCTACTTGTTCGGGTTAGTATGTTTGACTCGGGTGGACCTGTGTTATTTGATAATTGCCTGAGTATGCTGACGCTTGATAGGTTATGCTGGTTAGGGCGTACTCCCCATGCCGGAGAGCATGTAGAGCTCTTTTCGCCCAGCCCTGTCTTGAGCGGAAGCGACCAAGAGGTGTACAGTAGATAACCTGGCAACGAAGTATGAAAACACTAGCCCCTAAACTGAGTCGGGTCGACAACTACCGCCTCCCTGGACCCCAGGACTCAACTCACCGATAGTTAATGACACTGACAAGTATAGCCCAGTCGCGCAGTCAGTGGCGCTCGAGCATCAATGAGTAGCTATCCAATACCCAAGCAATCACCTCCAATGCTTAGCTGTATGTTCCATACTCCCCCACTCTCCGGTGACCGAAATTGTGGCAGCTGGAACCATTGAGCCTATGATACATGGTTTATAGCTGATAAATTGATTGATTGATTGCCTGAGTGTGCTCAAAAACAAATACGCAGCAGAAGATGTTGCCTAATAACGTATCCCAGTGGCAATTTCGTTCCTGTTGGACCCCACCTTGGTGGTGTAATCTATCGACAAAATCATACAGCCCTTGTGCTCTCCTACCGCCAGTAGTTTGTGCGTCGGTTGCATGCCGTTATAATGAACTATACGCGTTTTTTGAAGTACTACGGAATAAGCAGGGTGTGTTAGTATCTACATTACTCTGATTCTGTGATTTATCGCCCACTACACGGCATAGTGTCGACTATCTCGTCATTTTTTCATGCGTAGAAATGCGGTCGAAGAAGAACCTGTAACTGAGAACCCACACAACTGGCGTGACAATGTGCATAAAGTCTTGGAGATTAGTGTCATGCATAAAGTGATCTTTGTCCCGACCGGTTGTTGACTTAGTTGAAATAATCTCATTTCCCGAGAACCATTCGAGTTATTGATCTAGCTATTGATCCTTATGGAAACTCAGCTATGATCCGAAGCAACTGAATATGAGTTGTACAGCTGTTGTTGGTTTCGAGGAAACTAACAAAACCCGCGAGGATTCTCGCCTTTCCCCGATCCCACCACCAGAGTCGTAACAAGGAACAAATAGATGAATCATTCAGCTGTAACACCCTTTCGGTACCTAGCTCCAATGCCCCCCACCTGAAGGAAGCTTGAGGGCTGTGATTACCAAAGTCTAATCAGGAACAATCGAGATGCTGTGGTTGGGTTCGAACCACGAACCTTCCGATCAGTAAGCTTGTTCCCTAGCTACTGAACTTTCTCAAGCTCAAGGAAAAGAATCCTCGCGGAGGTAGGGTTTTTGGAATCCAATCTCCGTTCCATCTCGGAGTTGAGTTTCCTGATGAAGTTCAACTTTTGCTAGGCGTTCTTCGGTGTCTGTCTGTATAATTTATTTGGGTATTTCTGGGGCCACTTATCTCAATCAGGTGGCGTGCACGCAGCCGCCTAGCGAAAAAGTCTGTTACCTCTGGTGTGATAAATGCCATAAGTTAATAGTGGAGATCGTAAATCATTAACAGTAGCAAGAGCGATTTTCTCCTTAGACCATCAGTTTCCCTTCTCAGAACAGACTACTCTCTAAAAGATACTACTACTGCAACACCTTGGTGTTTTGCGTGGTGCATGCTCCTGCTGGTCAGTAATATGGATGAAATAGCTGTATAGTGTACACTTGTTCCACTCTCACAACGAAATATCCATCGAAACTTCCGAATTCCATCACACTACTAACAGTCTATAAGTAGCTCAATGGAAGGGGGATATCCGTGCGACCAGTGGAACTTCCACCTGAGAAATCGTTACTCGAGGAGCCAGTCGATACGTGCGATCAAGATGTGGATCCGATCACTGAAGGATGAGCGGCGCTAAATCCCGTCTTAGTTCAACTTCGGCACACTGCGTATATCAGGCATTCGTGGTCGAACGGTTAAGTGTTCCAACTATCAGCTGGAGTTTCGTGAGATGCGCACCGCTGATGATTTCCACTAAGGATGAAGCACTCATGCAGTGCTCCTCGGAGGATGAGCGGCGCTAAATCCCGTCTTAGTTCAACTTCGGCACACTGCGTATATCAGGCATTCGTGGTCGAACGGTTAAGTGTTCCAACTATCAGCTGGAGTTTCGTGAGATGCGCACCGCTGATGATTTCCACTAGGGATGAAGCACTCATGCAGTTCTCCTCGGCTCTACAGCATAGGTTAGCTTCACTTACAAAACGAAGTCTCCATAAAATTGGTCCTGGTGCTCTTGGTTAATCGTTCATTTGGTTTCTCCATATTAACATGTTCTGCACTTTTTCACCCGCGTCTCAGTTCAGTCCTGCTGATTTAAATCACACTCCAGTTGCAGGTGGCTGAGTAGAAGCGAATAAATTTGTAAAACACCGCAACAGGTATTTCATCCTTGTTTCCTACAAAAGCCATAGTTGTTTAGCATGACATGTTTGTTTAAGTACGGCGCCTGAATCTTGTTTGATGATTCCTCTTAATTCAGAGGTACGCAAGTCTCTCCTAGTATATTGGAGACTGTGGGGGCTGAACTTTGTTGTTGGCTTCTAATGTTCCCATCAACAGTTACAATTGGGTATGCATTTGTCCCCTACTAGTGCGCATTGGTAATTATGAGGGCAAGCCCAAGTAGTCTCACAGTAGACAGTCCGGCTCCCCGGGCTGTCGTCTAGTCGGCAGGAGATCAGAATATCCGAGAAGGATATAGTTATAGTATTGTTCTGCTCGAACTCCCATTGAAAACTGAGATTTCACGGGTGGATCGATGATGAGCCATGATGGATTATTTATGATCTACATAACTTTTGTGGATTTCAAACGTCCAAAATACCAGGTGAATAGTGTGGCTACGGGAAGCCTATTCGGCCTCGCCTTAACCGATATATTCGTAGCCACAGTGAAGAAGGGTGAAATACACTCAGTCGCTTATCAATTTGGTCTTCACGGCAGATCCGGCTGAATCTCTCGTTTGTGACGTTCTTTTTCGAAGCTTTCAGCAACCCTGTGAGTAGTGTGTTACGTACGTAAAGACAGGTGAGTTTGAACCTACGGCCGGTGACTACAATGTAAGAGATAGCTCATCACCAGTCCCATTTGTTGCATTCTGGATGTTCGGCAAATATTTCCTAGTCGTGTGGAATTTTCACAACGTGCCGTCGGTCGCTTCTGCTCAACTTCTTTGGGGACTAGTTTGTGGACGAGCATGACTCCAGTGAGGCGTAACGTTTATCTTGGCTTGTGTGACCTCTTCGACTCGAACTCACCACCCCATGATCCAGTTTGAA